CATTTCGAAACTTTCTAAATGTTTCAACTGGCCTCATTTTGTTCTGAGGCTGTTTCGAAGCTGTTCATTTCATTTAGCTGTTTCGAGCTCGAAACAAGTCGAAACAGCCAGCAAAATTTCACACAGCCCTATTACTTAACTATTTGGTTTGACCAGTAGTGGTTAGCTTGGGTACTGGGGTCTAATGGAAATCCTTAAAGAGGTTACAATTTAAATGTGTAATTTTGTTTTATTTTCTTATGGATGCAGTTCGCAAGAGAAGGATTGAAGGAGACCATCAATAAATCTTGCTGCTGCCAGAATGGATTGTGTGAAGATGTCATAGATCTTCAAGGCTCATTGTGGGCTTAGCAGTCTCTGACTTCATTTACCTGGGTAGAAGGGAAAAGACTGGAAACCCCATTCCTTTTTTGTAAAATTACATTAATTATCTGTGTGGTATGCATCACGTTTCTCAGTTTCAGGCATAGTACCTGCACCTGACTGTGCAGAGGTCAGGTTTTTTAAAAGAACTTTTTTGTATTTCAAGATTTCCTACTATACTTTCTGCTGAAATGATGTAAATTCAGAAATCAATGGAGTGGTTGTCTATTCCACGTGAAGGATCAGTGGGTAAATAACGAAAACAATTGGAGTATGTTTCTGATAGAAAAGCTGGGGTGGTTATTTAAGTGGAAGGATTTGTATATTTTTTTAGAACAATGATTTAGTGAAAAGGGATTCTTCATGCAGAACAATTGGGCTTTTTGTAGCTATTCAGCCTTGTTCATATGAACTTAAAGATTAATCTTTCACAGCTATCACAGTTGCAGTTCTACTTTTTATGTTCTTGATCAGGTTAAAATGCTTTAATACTGTGATTAAGCTTGAAAGTTGTCCATTTTTAAAGCAAAATGAATTGGATAAGGACTTCTACTTTTTTTCAACATTCAGGAATAATATAAAGTGAAGGTGCCTTGAAAAATTAACAGTGTCTGTACTAAACCAAAAAGCCTCCAAAACACCTTATGTTAGAAAATATTCTGAGACTATACTTTGCTCTGATGCGTCTAAACTGGGCATATACTTTTAGATTTAATTTTTGTATGTTCCTCAGCATTGTTTAGGGTATAGCATTCTTTGTTTAAAAATATCTATATCTAAATATCGTAAAAGGCATAGGAGTTTTCTAGAAGTAGTGGACATGCATTCTTTAAGAAATGCTGGCTAGTGGGTGCTGAAAAAGCAATCTTATGAACTGTAAAAATCCTATGGTCCATGGTGGTAGTTAGTTGGGAATTTTGTTTGTTAAACTAAAATCAGTCATACTTCCTTCTGTATGAAATGGTGACAACTGTATCAGGCAAGTTTTTGTCTGTCACAATGATAAAAGGTCTTCCTGTTCCACTGACTTATGGTCCTATTGTCATGATGTAAACTACGCTGATACTTAACTAGTTCTAACAAATTTCTAACGTGTTGGACAGTATATTCACAATATTATTCAAGACCATTTATTGAAGATAGGCATTTAGTCAAATGTGTCACTGTAAATGTTATCAAGTTCTGTATCTGTAACTAACTAGGTAACAAAAGTCACTTCACTTTTTAGTATCAAATAGAAGTGGACTTTTTGGGGGTATTGTGAAATTTAAATAATTTTTACTCGTGCTGTTTTTTGAATTGCACTATATGAAATGCTATAATGTTGCCCATTATGCCATAAAAGTAGAAGCACATTCTAAGGAACTAGACAACTACATTTACAGTGACGCACAGTTCAAACGTTGTAAGTGTCAATATCCTTAAAATGATCATAAGTATGGTGAGTTTATATAAACTATGTATAGGTGATGTGAAAGAAGAATGTCTAGAACAGATTTATGCATCAGATTTGGAGAAATTTACACTGTAATTGTGCCCACATGTTCTGTTATAAATCATGCTTTTTTAGGTTTGCTCTTCTTTTCTCTGAAAATGAATTTAAACTTGTGGCATGTGTACAATGACTTTTAAGCTATGAACCTCCAATGAAGATGTAAATACCTAGGTTTATAAGGGTAGAAAAATTAGTGATTTTTTTTTTTTGTGGTTCATTCTAAATGAACCTATTATAGCTTAGATAGCTATGTAATCTTGCAAGAATGAAAAGGAAGTTGGGACAATTTCTATTAAAACCAAAGATATCTTGCATTCACACACTGTTCAGTAGCCAGAAATTATGTGATTGGTCATAAAAAGAGCACTCCTTTTTGTCTTTTGGCTTACAGTATTTTACATAATTTAAGAGGTCTTTGAAAGATGCTGTTCTGAAGTTTTAGTTCATAAATATTTGCTTCCAAACATGAATTAAAAGCTAAGTGTCTTTTTCAAGAGATGGTGCTGTACAGATGTGGCCAAAGCATAGTATACATGTAACCTGTCTCAAATTGTATGTTTAAGGTGCCTAATTTATAAAACACCAAGTAACCATTTTGTGTCAAATAAACTGTAAAACTTCCCTTCCGTCTGTTTGAAGGTGCTGCATATCTTTCAAATCTGTTCCTGTTATTTGTTTAATCAACAGTTACGCAAATTTGCTAGCTACTGTATATTCTAATCCAGGTGGAAAATGATACGCTGGGATGGACTAGGTAACGAAAAATTAGTCTGTTGCCTATTTGAATTAAGTCTGGCTCCTTAATGGTCTAAGTCCAAATCTGTGGCTTAGGATAAAGTGGTCAAGGGTTTTGTTATAATTAAAGTAGCAGACCACCTTGTGCCAGCCCTTACTAGTGTAACCAGCATAATCCTATTGAAATAAATAGGTGCAGCTCCGTAGACATCCACTGAGCATTTGGCTACCCATTGGCAATCTAAGCAGAGAAAAGTCAGACAGATTGGACATGGAGAATAAACTACTTGGCCTTGAGGATTATCCCTTCAAGTTTGGTTTGAGGTATTTTTGGCAGGGGAGCAGGGAGAAACTTTAATGTTTGCTGCCTTTCGTGCCTGTGGTATACCTTTTCTGGGGATAAATGAAGGTAGGAATCTAGCTTTCAGTGAGTAACCATAAACAGACTCAGAATGCGGAGCTAACTTTCAGATTTACTGGCTTCATATATATAGTAAAGACTTGAGTATGATGAGTACATATGGTATTGATTTTTGTAATAAATTAGCATATATACTGGGCCTGTTTCCCAAAAGACATGACATTTGTGTGCTTTTTAAGCTTGATTCTTGGTCAAGTCACTTCAGTTTTGAAAATAGGCATTAATCTTGGAAAACAATCCAATGACCACATGTTTTGTTGTTTATCTTGGGTTCTATCCTCAAGGAAGAGAATCATGGACTGAATATATTCCCAAAACCTTTTGTAAACTCTCTTCGTCCAGTTGCACTCTAGAGAAATGGTCTCATTGTCTCCACAGCTTTTTTGGTATGTATAATATTGTTTGTAAGCTACAAACAATGGTCTGTTCAATTTAAATTTCCATGGAGGAAATGCGAATTGAGTATGTCAGCATATCGGCACTCTATGCTGTTGAATTGTAATACAGTAAAATATCTGAAGAATCAAAATACAGTTTGGTTTGGTTTTTTAATAGTATTCAGAAAGCTGAATCTTGCATGTGCTTCAAGCTATTGCTGGTATTTGTTATGTGGAAAATATTAGTTTAGCGCATGGCAGAAAAGAACACTGGCTAGTATAAAATGTCCATAGTAATAGTGATAAACTACTGTTAACCCAGTCCAAACATTTAAGCCAATGGCTAGATATAAAAATCTTAATCACTGTCTGCTGGTTCAAGTTATATGGCAGCACAAAGGTTGTAGCCTTGCCCTAGACATTGCAAACAGTATGTTCCACTACTTTCCGTTTCTCCAAGGTGCTTTGTCATGGTGGGGTGTGTTAGGCAGGGAGTGGGGTTGGGGGACCAGCTGAGGTGAAACATCTTTTTCAGTACAGCTACCCCTTTAGACACTGACAGAATCAGAGTTTGCAACTTGAAATTGCACAAATACATAGACATACGAGGGTTTGGCTTTTTAACAATAAACATTGATAGACAGCGATTCCACCGCACGGTCTCAGACTGACGGAAAAATATTTCCAGTGGCAATAATCAAAATTAACAGAAAAGTGACTGTAACAAGGAACCCTTACCCCTGTTACTGGACAGTGGAAAAAGAGAGGTGGGAGGGACAGTGTGGAGAGGTTAAATGGGAAAACAGTGGGCGGCCTGATGACCAGGGATCCTGGGTTTCCCTGATTAAAAAAAATCACAAATTCTCTGCTAAAAAATGTCATTCTCTGTTAAACCCCCCCAAATCTATGATTAAAATAAAAGCCCCCCCCCCACAGCCCCCTGGTCCTGCTGGTGCCCCTCACATTCTCCCCACTGGCCCCCCAGCCCTGCTGGAGGGGGTCCCTGGCTGCTAGGGCTACAGGGTCCTGGCTCTGGGTCCACAGCCAGGCAGGAGGTGGTGGCTGCTGCAGTAGTGAAGCCCCCTGCTGTGAGCTTGGGCAGGGGAGGCCGGCTCCCTGCTGCTGCACGCACTCTCCAGGGGACAGGGGGGACCCATGACTCCCAGATCTAAGCACGGGGTGGGCTGTGTGCTTGGCCAGGTGCGGCAACTCTGTGGCACTTTGCGTGCTCCCCAGGGGGCAGGAGGGACCCATGCCCCCCAATCTGTGCATGGGGCAGGCACAGGTGAGCTCAGGCTCCCACCCTGCTGCCCTATCCTGGGGCCTCCGCAGCCCAGCGCACGTAACCCAACACAGCAGGAAACAGCAGGGCTGTATGGAGAAGCTGCCTGGTGCTGCTCTGGCTGGCAACGCGCCTCTATGCATGGCTGCAGCAAGGGCAACAGCAGAGCTTTGCACTAATCAAAGCTGCCCTGCACACAGAGGAGGCATCACCAGGGCAGCGTGGAGCTTGTAGCAGCAAGCAACTTCTCCATGTGGCCCCACTGTTTCCAGCCACACTGGGTTGTGCCCACCGGGATGCAGAGGCCCCAGGGAAGGGCTGCAGGGCAGGAGCTTGAGCCTGCAGCGTGTGTCCTCCCGTACCACCTGCCCCATACACAGATCTGGGGGGCACAGATCTCCCTTGCCCCTTGGGATTTCATGCAGCACTGGGGAGCCAGCCCCCCTCTTCTCACCCCTCCCTGCCCACGACAAGCTGCCCACAACCCTGTCCCAGTCTCCACTGGGGCCCTGCAGCAGCTCATTGTGGCCCCAAGCCCCATGCACTGCCTGGCTGGGCAGCAGCCCCAGCCCTGACCCCACGGGAGCTCAATACCTCCCCCCAACCTACTTACCTGCAGGAGCTGCTCTCCAGGCTGCCTGGGGCCATGTGCATGATGTACACGCACATGGTGCCCCCTGCCTGACCTCCTTTCTCCTGCTCCCTCCCAGGCCCCTGCAGGCTGGAACTGTGCCAGCCTGCAGGGAGCTCATCGCAAAACTAAAATCTGCAGGCTTGTCCGGTAAAATGAGAAATCTGCGCTTGCCTCCGGTAAAAGGTAAAATCTGAAGCTTACTCCGTTTTTCCATGGGAAAACGAAAAACTTGGATCCTTGCTGATGACACCTGGATTAAGCAATTAGCTGCCGGTTCACAGGTGTCAGAAGTGGGCTGGAGGGAGATAACAGACTACTTAAACCCCTGCCCCAAAGCCCATGGGGGGGGCAGGGAGAGAGGGAGAGGATTTGAGGCTCCAGCCCCATGGCAGCAGGGTCTTGCCTGGGCTGGACTAACTAAGCTGAATGAACAATGATTTAAAACAGGTATGATTTATGGATATATACTTCTTATGTTTTGACGTGATTTTTATAAAGCTTTTAACAGTATACCGTCATTATCATTGCTAAATTGTCTGCCCCCCACATCCCTAATCTTGCACAATCCTGAAAATGTAAATTGATAAAATCTAAATAAATGCTTAAAAATAAACCTCAATTTTAGTTGTCAAAATTATTCAATAAAAATCAAATTCTGCTAAGCCTACAAATACATTAGAAGGATAACTGCTGCCACTCAAAATTATTACATTATCTGTTCAGTACACCTGAAGCATGTAGGGAGGTTGCAAAAACATCTGAACCCTCTTTGAGAACAGTTTATAGAAGTGAGTATCTGGCTGGTTAATAAATGCATTGTGGGTCTCTTGAGAAACTGCTTAAGTTCCAAAATTAAAATGTTAAATGTTAATCTGTTTCTCAGCTAAACTTCCTTTGAATTCACATGATTCATATTAATAACATATTGCACAATGTACCAAGCTAAAGGGAACATTGTCTTTGTATATTGCATCATATGCATCATATGGACTATGGGTTTTTTAATATTTCACCAGTGCATGGGCCTTGAAAATTTAACTAAGTACCTAGCCAGGAACAGACAGGAGACCCTTGGGAGGAAGAGGCCACTGCCAGCAAAATAGCCACATTTCCACACCTTGCCTCCTCTCAGCACTGTCAGCCACTGGGATACTTACCCAGCCTGACTTAAGGGGCAGCGAAAAGTGCAGCTCCCCGCTGTAACTGAGAATGCTTTGCAGGAAGTGTTCTGAGTTACAAAGATCCCCTGGACCAAACAGAAGTTCACCATTGGTTCCAATGGGGAGGGGAATCTAGCTGCTGGCTTTGAGTCTGCAGCCAGTTTCTCTTAGCAGTGGCCCCTTCTCCCTGCACAGCTGCAAAGATTTAAGAATGTGAGAAGGGGAAAGGGTCCAGAGGGAGTTTGTTCTAGGGGGTTCCCCAACCAGTGCTGGAGGGTGGGGTGGGTGAATTGGAGCCCCCCTCCCTGCCCCACACTTCAGGGAGGCTCCAATACACCTGCTCCATCCAACAGTGTGGTGGGGGGGCTGAAAACCCCCAGACTGAGCTCCCTCCACTCTCTTCCCCCCTCTCATTCTGGAAACAGTGACAGGCTGGGAGGCAGTACAGGCACAAGTTACAGAAGATGCTCTGTTCTGAAATGTCTATATCTGACTCTTCACGCAATGAAGGTTCAGATTTTCACTCAACTGGCCATTTTTTAAACTGTCTGCAGCCATGCACTTGTGTTTGGTAACAGCTATAAAACTGCTTTATGTGGCCAAATCAGGTGAAAATTGTAACTTCTGTCTGTGCCCACAGACCCTGCTTGAGAAGTAAACTGTCACCTACCTTAATATACTTAAAAGGTGTTGAAAAGTAGTAGTATGTTGCATTCCCCCATTTCTCTTGCATCTGTTGCCCTCCCCTACTGCCTCAATTGTTTACATCATTCTGCCTCTTGAGTAGCTTCCTCTTCATGCTGCTGTTGGTTACATATTTTCCTCAAGCAGCACTGGATAAGATTGATCACTCCCTGTCCGTTTTATTGCCAAATGGAAAGTACAGTAAGAGTGAAAAGAACCTGAGCCATATTTTCATTCTGACTGACCTTGGGAAAACTACGGAGAGGAACTGCACTGGGGCTGCCTGCAGACTCTGGGAGAGAGAACTGTCTTGGGTCCTGTTTGGAGAGTGATTTTTGCTACCAAAATTCAAGCTAACTTTGTAGAATGAAAGCTTAAATTTTTAGCTCTTTCTCCTCCTGCCAGTCAATTCTATTTGCCACATGCTCTTCAGAGTGTGTACATAGTAAATGTTTTCTGCCAAGCTCTTGCCCAATATTAATAATGTTATGGATTACAGCTAAAACATAACGTCAAAAATACAGGCCAACCAGAATCTGTTAAGAGAGGAATACTTCATCCTTTGTAGAAGGAAAGTCTGCACAAATAATACTCTTGCCAGTCAGATTTAAAACATCAGCTGAGGGTGCCTATAGAAAGGGAATACAAGATGAACATTGTACGTTCACACCTGTATTTGCTTCCTCCTGCCCTGTCAGTAGCACCTGTAATTTGTTCTGTAGTATCTTCTGTCATCAAAGTATTAATGAAAAGCTAGTGTAGTTTGCTATTTAATCTGTAGTCTCCAATGTAACTTAGTGTATGTAAATATGCCCCCCCAAGTTGTTTAAGGATGAAAAGCACGACCAAATGTTTAAAGCTTCTATGGAGCAAGACGTGTAAGGATAAGGTATGTTTAATACAACCTAATGAACTCTTACATTGCTGCTACTAGGAGAGGAGTAAGAAAGCTCTTGGAAAATCTGACAACTTTGAATACTGCCAACCATTAAATCACTGGAAATCCCTCTTGGTCCCCAGTTGCATGTAATCTAGTAGAGGTGTAAAATATTGGCTGACATAGCATACCAATAAAGCTAAAGACATATCTTTTGTCTTGGCCTCTAACCTTTACCTTTTTATCTGCACAAAATGACTGCTCCCTGTCCCCCATGACTTGTTATAAACTGGAAAACTTAGTCCATTCTAGATTATCCATTCCAAATAGTGGTGCAATGATACATCAGTCCAATACCAGATGAGTACTGATGTAAAGAAAACTTGCTGTATCGGAAATTGGCCCAATGTGGCCAATAAATGCCCCTGCGTGCATGCAGCTGCAGCGCAGCATGCATGCAGTAAGGCACGCAGCCTAGCAGTGTGGAGAACTGCATGCAGCTGGTAAGTCCATTG